CGCGAACCTCAAGACGGGGCATTAAAAACGGGGGGGGGGAGGGGGGAACATAAGATAAAGATGTTCTTAATTGCAGTGGACCTTGTTTTGCTGTATGCGCGCAAGGTAAATTGGACAGGATGGTGACGTAATTTTTTCTTAGAAAATGGCACGTTGTTCTTTCACTTTGTGCAGCCAACACTAACATCATTGTAGCCTAAAAGGGAGGAAAACTCAAATCATCTGTGTTGTGGTAGAAGAAATACTACTTGCACTTATCATATGCCCTTTGTTTATTACATTTTAAAATAAAGGCGTAGTTCTGTGGGGATCTCAGTAGGCTGGTGGCGTGTATCTCGCGCTCAGTCGGATAGTAGACTTGTATTGCCGGTAGAAAAATTACTGGCACGTTATTTCAGCACATGTTCTGTAAGAGTGGATCACAAACAGTTTATTGTTTTCTTCTTCAAAGATAGTTTTCAAATTTCTGACAATTTATATCAATATTGCTGTAGAGGATTTCAACTGAAAACTGCTTTTTATGTACCGCTACTTAAAAGGTAGGTTCTCTTCACCACTTCCATTCTCTGGGACTCTCCGTCTAGAACAAAATGCTCCTGACCACTTGCTGCCTTGCTTTCCTTGATTTGGCTACGCTACATTTTAAGTACCTGGCATATTTGAGCACCTATTTTCACAATGAAAGGCTTTCCTTCCTCCATGTAGTTCTTGTGCTTTGGCAAATGTTTTATGGTTTTGGTGCTTTTGGCTAGCACCGCATGCGCTCCAGGAACCCTGTGCCAGAGCTGTTCTAGACCCATGATACGCAAACCCCATTGTGTGCTATTGTTTAGATTCCAGCTCCCCCCCCCTCCATGTTTCCATGACCTTCTCTTTGTCTGCTGCCTGTTACCAGGCAGGATTCAGGCAGCTGCTTGCTGATTGGCTCATGTTTTGAGCAGCTCATGGGCTGCTCATATGAGCACACGATTATAGGCTAATCCATAGCAGCTAAGCTAGTGCCTGCCTTTGTTGCTTTAGAGTTGCAATCTTTCTACAGAGTAATAATAAAAAAAAATAAGGGAATCTAAGGAAAACCTTTTAATTGGCTGAGAGAGGAGTCCTTTACCTATTCCTAGCTGCACTGGCACATGTTGGTTTTGCCATGTAGCATGCATTTGGTCATGAGAAAGAAATGTCCAGATATTGGAGGGAGGTGCCTAATGGTGCGTTAGTGTCTCTCATGCTGAAGTATGTATGACTTTCAAGCTTAAAATGAAAAAGGGAATTCTCATGAATTACACCTAAACAAGTACGTACAAAGTTTGTGCGTGTTGGTGTTTCAAAATTTATTATTGTGTTTAAAAAATTTTTTTTAAAAAGGGCAACCCAAAACCTACCACCTTATTTGCAGCATTTAACCCTTACACACTTGGCTCTAAATGCAGGAGTCATTTTGTGCTGTTCTGTACAAATGCTTGCCTTTGAAATAAAAGATGCCCCATCGTTGGCTTGGTGCCTGAGCCACTCGTTTCCTTCTTGTGCCATGGTCACACAATGAGTAAAAACCCAAGCATCAGATGAGGGAAGTGCATAGCAAAAGTAGTTATACTTTGTGTTAATTGTTGAGTATGAAGGGAGACTACTACCATACATTCATTTAGAACACTACTAATTTAAAATGTTTGATTTGTGCAAAACTGAATTCATGGAACCTGCTCTGGAGTTGCCCTCTGAAGGGCAACCTCCTTACCCTTTTGAAAGACAGGAGGGCAATATTTATCAGATGAATGCTGATTGGCTTCCACCGGTATGACCAAACCTGCCTGGACTGGTTACTGATTTATTTGTTTCTTCTTTTACTCGGCTCTCACATGAGATCTGTTATTTGGCTGCAGTGTGCTCCCTTGTGGGTATGGCTGGAAACGCTTTAAGGCTGGTCTGCAGTGACACATGATATTTAGCTGTTAACCAGTGTTTAGCATTCATCTTTTAATCTCATCTATGCTTATAATTTTGTCACTTACGGTAGCTTTTATTGGATATTATTTGGTTGTGAAAGACTGTGGGATCGAGCTACGAGTTACTCAAATAACCATCTTAACAATGGAATTTTATGAGAAGCCTTTTTTTCATACAGGTTCACTGTAGAACTGTATTAGAGCTTTGTTTTTAAACTAGATTTTGGATAATATCCTGAGATATAAAATAACCAATTTTTAAATATATTAGAAATTCAAGCTTGTTCATTCATTATTTTTTAAAGAAAAAAGTAAGGATGCATCAATATAAAGGTATTCTGATTTGATTGCTTTAAGACTGCTATTCCTGGCAAATTTTAAAAGGAGGTGCCCTTCATTTTACTCTGTATTTACTGTATTTTATTTTGTGTTAAAAATACGAATGCAAGGCTGCTTAGATGAATAAGGAAACTAGAGAAGAAAATATTAATTTGTTTTAAGTTACATTTTATGATTACTCAAGTGATGCATTTATGAATTTGATTTTAAGGTGTCTGTGAACACTTTATTAATCTGCTAGTGTATCTTTTGGTCATAGCAAAAGAAGGATTGTAAATTTTGTAATATAAAAACTGTTAAATTCTGGGTAATGCTTATAAAAGAAAGCATTGTGGTCCAGGAGAGCAAACTCCTTTTCTGTCTTTATTTTGATACAAAGGCCCTGTATCCTTGTACTATATTAACAGAAGACCCTCGCTACCTGGTCACCTATTAGGAGCTCTTGGAATTGTTGGAGGTTAGCCAAGCCTGGAATTCTCAATATATTTTTTTTTTCCAAATTGGCTCTACAAGATTTACATCTGTAAGAGCATGTATGTTGGTTGTAGGGTGTTATGTGCATGGAACGTGAATGTGATGATCAGTACTCTGTGACAGTCTGATATATGCTTTTATAGTGATGTGAAAAAATGTGCTTTACATTTTAAGTTATTGGGAAGAAGGAAGGGATGAGCTTTCAAAAACTGCACGTGCACTTCTGAAATCCTAGAGATTTTTACATGCTTCTCTTAACTTCAGGACTAGAATTACTGTGTTAAATGTATTCTTTTCTGGAAGAAAATGAAGATACTGTATTTAGCATGTAGGCAGCCCTGGAAGGACATTAACAGCTTGCCTGAAGTTCCTATTTCATCTGTCTGGGAACAGTTATGTGATGAGCATGTTTCTAAAAACAATTAAACTGATGTTTCAGATCAGTGTTTCTATAGGAGTTAGATTTTGCTCCCACTAGTGGCAATGCAGTAATAGACAATCCTGTTCTGAAAGTCTAGTTCTGACTGGCAAAAATTAATGTCTTAATGGTATTACTGAGAGTCTGTAAATAGAGGTGATACAACCTTTTGTGAAGATCAGTTCATCTGTTTCTGAGGTGTGAATTGAAGTGTTGTTTAGGCACCATCAGTTACTCAAATATGAGGATTCTAGATTGTCATGCAGAAAAGAACTGAGATAAAGTGGAAGGGAATCTCAATGTTATGTTAATATTAAAGAAATGCAAATCAGTGAAAAAAAATTTGGTTTTTATATCATATTGCTTTCTATCTTGCCTATATTTTTGTCAGGTCATTAACTTTAAGTGTAAAAGAAGCCTTATAATTGTAAAGTACGGTAAGGTTTAGAGTTTGTCTCAATAGTTGAATTCTTATTGTACTTTGGAACATATATTGATTTCTTACCATAGAATATTGTAATTGGGCAGTGCATAAATGTTAAATAACTTCCTTCATAAACAAACTATTCTAAGTAAACTAGGAAGGATCCAGAAGAGGACTACCAAAATGATAGGAGCCTAAAGCACGTGTCTTACGATGAGACACTGAGGGAGCTTGACAACTTTAATCTGCTGAAGAGAAGGCTAAAGGGCAATTTTACAGCTGCCTAAATAAAACTTGTAGGCAAGGTCAGATACATAGAGGGTGGAGCCAAACCATTACTTAGAGGCTGTGGAATCTCTGTTTCATGAATTTTACAACTTAACCATTGCTGATCTGAGCTAGTGTTGGCAATAGTCCTGTTCGTTTGTTTTTTGGTTTTTTTTAATTAAAAAATTGTATACCTCACCTGAAAAGACAAAATGCAGTTTATTAATGGAATTTCTCATCTCTGTAAATGAAAGTGGATAGCAGGAAGATGCAAAATGAAGGGTACTAAATATTTAAAATGCATCCCTTTTGTAATAATTCTGCTGTATCAGTGGTATAAACATTTGCTTATCTGGTGCTTGTGGGGGAAAAAAATCATATAGATACAACCACCTGATTTATTTACTTACTTTTTTATTTGCTGTGATATCTTTTAACTACTGTTACCTAAGTGAATTTTTGCACGTTTTGAGAAACTTAAAAGCCATATCCTAGACAGAGTAACTTACGACAGTGTAGTAGCTTCAGTAGAGCTAAACTAGTTAGCATCAGCTGATTCAAGATCTCGGTTGCTGAGTTTCATTTGGGATAGAACAAGTTCCTTAACTGCTTTCTGCTTCTGAACAATATTATCATATCTAATCCTTTAAAATTGGGTCCTAAAACAGGACCAGATGAGGAAAAAATAGTTTGAAGATCCCTGTGGGATTTTTTTTGTATTGTATAATGGAAACAGATGAAATAAGATTTTGTTGCATTTCAACAATTATTTTAACTTCCTAGGTAATGTTGGATTTAACTCCATTTATTGATTTGATAACATAGATTTTCAAACATTATTTTTCTTAAGTTTTTAATATATTAATGTTCTTAGTTTTCTTAATATTTGCATGGGTGGGTGGAATGAATAAAATTATATGGAGGGCAAAACCATCAGTTTTCCTTGGAAAAGGAAATCTTTCTGTAAAGGAGCTACAAAAACTGTGGTTTTTCTCAGCACAAATGGTCTTAGTAAAATAGTATTACAAATTGAATGAAAGTGCTCTAAAAACCCAAGTTCAGTTAACCATTGTATAAATATGGAGGATGAGGGTCTATTTTATCTATACAGAAGCAGAAAGTATCTTAATGACACATTCAGAAATTCTTTCTGTATATTGACATTTTCTTAAAAGTTACTTGATATAAAAATCTTAGCATTTACCCCAGTTTTTAATTCTATTTGAAACTTAAGAAATTACGTAGTTTTAGAAAGATAAAAGAAATGTAAACTGATGGACCAAGAATATTTTCTGCTTTTTTACGGTAAGAGAGGCTGCTGTCATTAGCACAATATCTGTTTCTAGTTAGAAAACCTCTTTGTCTGGCTAATAATAATACTGTGAGATGACTGGTCTAAAATGTGTATTACTATATAATGTTACAGTATGATCTCGGTGATCTTCACGTACACGTGTTTGTGCAGCATATGTAGAAACTTGTATTCACTTTTCTGAGGACAAACAAAATTTAAGTGTGTTGTCAGGTGTTTCATTATTTTTGTAGATAAACTAGTTTGCTTTAAAACGTGCTAGACGCTACAGTTTTTCTTAGGAACACTGTAATAAGAGGATAATAAATTGTTACCTTCACAATTTATTTCTGAACTTTTTTTTTAAGGGTCAAGATGGAAAGCACAGATGAACCTCAGAAAAAAGTCTTTAAAGCACGAAAAACAATGAGAGTAAGTGATCGACAACAACTTGAAGCTGTCTATAAGGTTAAAGAGGAGCTGTTGAAGACAACTGAAGTTAAACTGTTAAATGGAAAGCATGAGAATGGAGACTCTGATTTAAATTCCTCTTTAAGCAATACAGACTGTATGGAGGACAAGAGGGAAGTTAATGGCCTAGTGGACTTGTGTGTTAACTCTGAAGAAGGAAGAACAGCTTCTGATGAAATTAGTGAAGCCAAAAGCCCTGAAAGTAGGGCAGGGAATGTAGTCAATGATGTAGAACCCAAACCTCTAACACTGTCTCCAGAGAATGTTACTGCTGAGCAAGATAAAGATACTGATACTGTTTTCTCTTGTGAGAGTGAAAATGGAGTCGTTAGTAGCAATAAAGATAACTTCCATGAAGAAAATAATACAAAAGATCATTTGGACCAAAGAGAGAGTGACATCCCATCAGAAGGTGGAAGTAAATCAATCTGTGATATTAGTGACTCTTCTGAAGAGAAGGGAGCAACAAATGACTTAACTATTAGTTCTGATTCATCTGGTGAGGAAAAGAAGACTGAAGAAGTAACTGTTGAAGGTGCTGTTGGAGAAGAAGCCATCTCTAGCAGCATGGAAGCTGACCAGAAACCAAAGGACAAACGAGACGGCACTGCAGGTCTTTCAGAAACCACTGTTCAGAAGACAATAGATGAGTCAAGTGAAAATATCTTGGACACTACTGACTCTATGGAAACAGATGAAATTATTCCAATTTTGGAAAAACTAGCCCCAGCTGAAGACGAACTGAGCTGTTTTTCTAAAAGTTCTCTGCTTCCAGTGGATGACACAGTCCCAGATTTAGAAGAGAAAATAGACAACTGTTTGGGTTCACCATCCAAGCAGGAAAGTAATGAAAGTCTGCCAAAAGAGGCATTCTTAGTACTGTCTGATGAAGAGGAACCCTGTGATGAGAAGGAAGAACGTTCTGAAGTGATGCTATCAAACAAGTCAAGTCTTCCAGGTAAGAATTTTCTAAATTGGTAGTTTTGATTCAAGTCTGGGATTTTGTTCATGTCTTAGAATGACATACTTGTGACATATTTCTAAATCAAAAAGGTGGTCTTACCCACCAGTTTGGTGTTACGTAGTCTTACAGTTTTCAAGTATGGTATTTGAGGCCCAGAAAAAAATGGAAGTAACACCAAAAAACCTATCATCTTTGAGATCTGGTTTGTTTGGGGTTTTTTTCCTCATACTCTTTGCAAACTGGGGTGGGGTAGTGGGTAGAAGAAGAGCAAAGATGAGTAATTTCCCACAAATATTTCTGTTCCATATTTGGCAGAGAAATGTGTTTATTTACTGTTCTTGAGGGGAAGAAAGGATTTCAACTTTCTTTAATGTGCAAATAAATAGTAAGAATGCAAACATGCTGGTGATTCAGGCATGCCACAAGTCCCATTTGTTTCAGATTTCTTTTTTTACCAAAAGACAGTATTGGAAAGGTTTAATGGAAAACACAAGTCCTCTACAGTGTATTATTGTCATATAGTTTTGTAAGCATATTTATTTTTTTTGACATAGGGCACTCATCATACTATTGTACTTTTGAAAATAAAACAGATGAATCATTGATAGATAGGTTGATACAGCTCTTTTATCTGTAATTAAGAAAGCTGTTGTTTCAAATTATCTTGTGGGGTTTTCTTTCTTTTTTCTTTTTTCCTCCCATTGTATATCTTACTATGAAATGATGACCATGCCAGCCCAGATGTGTTTAAACATGCTTGACTGGGTAGGAATTCCATAGATTAAACAACATTCAGGTTCTTTCAGTCTCTGGGAAGTTAGTAACCATATTTTCTCAGCTCTTGTTTCACTAATGATGAAACTGAGTCTTTCACTAATGTGTGATGGCATTCTGAGTCTTTAGTCTCTAAACAACTAGAGACAGGGAGATAAGAATGTCTCTTCAGTCATGTTTCAGATTCTTCCTTCTTTTCTGGTATCTAAATTTATGCCAGTTAAACAGAGAAAAGGTAGGTTCCATGGTTTCTGCTAAGGATCTTATTTAGGTGTTGCACTGAGATTGCAAAGCCTTCCAGAAACTATTTGGAGGTGGGGGAGAAAGAACATTGTGTGTACTTATGTGGAAATTGTAGTGTGTTACAAATGAATCCCCTTTATAAAATATACACTACAAATAAATTGATGATCCTTGTTCTTACCGCAGTTTAAGGGTTCTTTCATTGGAGATGAATGAAATTAGGATATCAGGGTTGCTTTTTTCATTTTACCCAATGAGAAAACACACAGTGGTCTACAGAGGAATTTTTGTTCTGGAGCAAAAAGACTGAAGTGAATATTAGATATTGGACTACCATTTGCAGAAGTCTAACATGATTATATCCAGCTATATTTTTTTCAGATTTTCAGTTTTGGTGATGGGACAAATTCTCTTGACTAGTTTTGTTTATTGGCTATAACAGTTTATGACTTCTACAGTTGCATGGCTGTAACAGAGACCGTTCATGAAAACTGGCCACTGCAAAGTATGTTCAGTCATTAGCCAGCAATCACCTGTTCTGTATTCTAAGCTGCATAAAGCTTGCCCATCAAGTTTCAGAGAAGAGAATTTAAATTTTTCTGAATAGTACATTCTGTGGGAAATATTTCAATAAAGTCCTTTGGGCACCCATTTTGTACTAAATTTCACATGGTATCAATACAAAGTTTTGCAGTCCTTTCACCAGTTTCAGTCTTCCAATAACAAAGATAGTAGCAGAGAGGTTGCAGGGGCAGGAAACCATTGTGTGAGAAAACAGGTAGATTTATCTTAGAAAATAAAGATGCTGTATTATAGGCAGAGGTGCAAGCTGCTCAACTAAAAAGTATGGTTTTCAAAAAGCCTAGACAAAAACCAGCATGGCTAAAAAATGGTAAAGAATGGTACTAGAAGAATTCCTTCAAATGGACATATTAATGGAATCTTTTTCTCAAGGAGAATTAGTAAATATAATAGCTAAGTTGGTACTTAAGATTTTTGTAATGGAAGATCATACATTAGAAGACGTTGGAGCTCTTCAGGTAAGTAAACAAGTGCATGACAAGGAAGACCTGATTGATGTATTTGAATTCTTTTGGGTATCCAAACACAAATGATTACTTACCAAGAACTTTTGGAAATTGAACTGCCTTCGGATAAGATGAAAAGTCTTTACAGAGCAAATAACCATTTGAAGAATGGAAAGTCTACAGTGATCTGTTCCAGAGACTGCTGTGCGACAAAATTAGTAATTTACTAAAAAGAAGGCTGACTAGTGAGGCGACAATCTGCTGATGATACTATGAAGAGCTATAGAAGAATCTTACAATGCTGAATGATTGAGGTATAAAAATGGCAGATGAAACTCATTGTGGTTAACTACAAAGTGGTACAGATGAGTATGGAAATGTTCATAACTTGATAGGAAGATAGAACTGACTCACCACTCAAGAACAATTTTCCAGGATTATAGTAGGTAGTTTTGTGAAAACATTGATACAGTAGCAGTTGAAGAAAGCAAACAAAGAATGCTGGGAATAAATTAAGAAACAAAGGAAAACTTCACTGTGGGACACCAAGCTCTTAAATGTTTTGTGTAATTCTGTTTCCTTGCCCCTCCCCATATCAAAGAAGATGTTACAGGACTTTTTTTTTTTTTCTTTCTTTTTTTTTTTTTTTTTTTTTTTTTTTTTTTTTTTTTTTTTTTTTTTGTCCTAGTTTATTGGGAGGATTGGTAGTGACACCACCTTGGGCTCTTGTGCCCTTCACCTTTTTCTGCAGAGATCCATTGTCACTCTTGATATGCTAGGATTCCTTCTGGTAGTATTGCTGGTGCCCATGCAGATAAGAGCAAGAGGCAAGAGGTGATAGGCTGAGGACTAGATGAGCCTTGGTAGCCTCTCTGCAACATTGGGGATCCAGGCCCTCAGCAAGCAGCTTATGTCTTGAGGCATTAGGCCAGGTTGCTAGGTGGGTACCTCTTGTTTGAGGGAGTCCCTGGTGGCTGTCACTAGTTTCTCCTTTATGCAGGTGGTTGGTTCAGACTCAGCTGGCTCTGATGCCTCTGTAATAGAAGATTTTCTTCTTAATGTGTTCCATCAGTGCTATACCTGTTCAGTAACTGTAGATTTGCAGGTAGAGAGAGAATCTTCATTCTATTGCTGGAAGTCACATGCTTCTTGCCTCCTCCATTTTGAAAATCTCCATTTGTTACTATTTTGAATATAACCTAGCTGCCCCTATTTCCTTGCACTGTGGGGCTTGGGTTTTTGCCTGTGCAGGGTTGTAGTTTATTGTCTCTTTGTCCATTCTACACAGTCATTTCATCTCCTACAGCTTCTTTGCTTTCTGAGTCATATCAGAGAGAGAACTTTTAGACAAGGATCGGCTGTATTTTAGAGTAGGATCTTTCAGCCTGAAAAAAGAAATGGAGGAGAGATGTGATAAAGATCTGTAAATGGTAAGTGATATGGAGAATGGATATTTGCTGTCTTTTCCTCTATAAGAACCTCCTGTATCAAATGGAGGAAAGGAGGAAAAAAAAAAGTGAGAGGCAGGATCAAGGCATGGGATAAGAGATCGTTCTCCATGTAGACAACTATGGAGCTCCTTGCTAGCAACACTGCGGCTGCTAAAAGTTTATATACATTAGTCTTCTGCAGAAGATAAATTTTTTTGAGGGCTGTTAAGCACAGAAACCCTAAGGCTCTGGAGTTCTTCCACCAGCAGTTTTTCAGAAAGCTGAGTAAGTTCTGGGACTGTGAAACTGTTCTCGTTTCATTCTTCGCTACTTGATCATATACTGTTGACTTGGAAGTGTTGGAGATAGGATCCTGGATTAGGTGAAATGTTGGTTTTACCTAGTGCAGCTGTTGCTATGTTCTTTCTCTTACCTGATCTATATGCTCCAGTTTAACCAGGTGAGGATGTCTGCCAAAGCAAATCTGAAGTTTGTCTTTCTCAGAATTGCTAGCACTTTGAGTGCATTCTAGACACCTTGATTCTAGGCTTCTCTACAGCAGTGGTATTTCATGCCCTCTAGAGGTAGTATGAAAGAGAACTTACTTTGTTAAGGCAGTCTGAAGTCAAGTATCACACCCTTTTAAGCATAAAGAGTGCATTTAACATTTGAAAGAATACAGCTTGTCTTTTAGAAAGCAGTGTTTGAAAAGAACTTCAGAGCATTTGAATGGCAGATAAACAACTAAACTGAACTTTTGTTCCTGTGTTGTGATAGAACTAGCTGTCAAAATTCTTGAATTCACAAACAAGAAAAGAAGTAAAACTTAAATGGAACCGACAAAACCACTTTCCTGCAATAATATTTCTAGTTCTCGTTTTTACTTCAAAAATGTATTTCAGAGAGTTGCTGCAAAAAATATTTCAGCATTTGGGAAACAAACTTTATACTGGAAAGCTTAAAAGAATGTAAGTTTTGTTCATCCAATAGAAGATTAAGGAAGACTGTAATACCTGCAAGCAGGAGCTGAATATATGGTGGAAAGAGGTTTCTTTAATGTAGCAGACAGAGACACAACTGCTCCATTTTTTGATCCTCTGGATTTTGCAAACCAGAAATCAGGCGCATTTCTGTCTGTCAGACTTTGGAGAACCAACTAATGGATGTTGGATTCATCGGCTGTAATTTTTAAGTCCTTTATATAGTGATAGGAGGAGCTGTGACCAAATAATTGAGTCGTTCAAGCTGGGAGGACCTCAAGAGGTCTCTAGCCCATTCTCCTGCTCAAAGTAGGGTCAGCTGTGAGATCTGACAAGGTAGCTCAGAACTTTATTCAGTTAGGTCTTGAAAACTTCCACTGATGAAGACTGGACAAGCTTTCTGGGCAGCCTGTTCCAATGACTCTCCTCATGTTGGAAATGTTTTTCTTCAGTTGGAATCTCTTGTTTCTGCTTACACATGTTGTCTCTTACCCTTTGCCATGCAGTTTTACAATGAATCTGGCTCCATCTTCTCAAAAGTCACCTTACAAGTATTGGAAAGCTGGTTTTGAGTCGCCATTAAGCTTTGTCTTCTCCATGCTGAACAAGCCCAGCTCCCTCAGCCTCTTGGGTCATGTTCCCCAGCTCCTTAGCAGTCTCTTGCTCCTTACTGAGAGATGGCATAACGAGTGCCAAGTAAAGGGCAATAAGCACTTCCTATGATATACTGGCTCTGGTCCTGTAAATGCAACTCAGGATGCTCTGGACCTCCTTTACTGCCAGGGCACGCTGTTGGCTCATGCTTTGCATGCCGTCTATGCAAGTCCTCAAAGCAGAGCTGCTCCCTGGCCTTGTGGGTCCTAGCTTGTGTCATTGCAAGGGGTCTCCCTTCCCAGATGCAGAATGTTTGTATTTGTCCTTGTTGAATATCATAAAGCATTTGCGTCATTGCAAGGGGTCTCCCTTCCCAGATGCAGATGCAACCCTTTCCTCCAGCTTGTCTAGGTCATGATGATTCCTTTGAAAATACGTGATTCTATTATTTCTTCCTAAACAAAAATAGTCGAATCTGGTTGTGTTTCATGGGGAAAATCTGTATTTGTTTTATAATAACTTTGGGATAGAGTTTGATCAAGGATTCACTACTTTAGAAGGGCTATGCTTTAGCCAATCTATAAGGAGAACGTTGTGGTTACAGGATTATGGCTGTGCCATCTAGAGTAACTTGTAAATATTGTTCAGATGCTCTTAGACTTACTACTTTTATTTCCATTTATATGTATATTTTTGCATAACTGACATCCAGATATGCATCCAGTCAGTTATTAAGCAGATCTAAATGCTTTCAGCTGTAGAAACTATTAAAAGGTATTTTCAGCTGTTAGTGACAGGCAAACACTTAGTAAAAACAAAAACCACTTTTGTGTTCAGATCCATGGTGTGTCTTACTAAGATGACTGTGATAAATACAGTGATAACAATGATATCCTCAAATTACTATTTTTTTAAAGGATTGCATTCATTGCTTCTGCCTGTCTAGCAGCAGGATACTGAGAGCGCAGCTTATAAGTGAAAAATAATCTGATAGCCAATTGTAAAATTATTTCCATATCACGGTTTGAACCTTCTTAACTAGAGAGCTTTAGCTGGGCACTGTGTTTAAACCACTTTTAGTTAAACAAGCTAAATTTGATGAGAGTGATAGAAGTTTGTAAGGAAGGGACTTCCTTGTCCCTGAAATTACTTTGTTCCCTACATAAAACTCAAAGTTCAGCTTTGAAACTTGTAACATCATATTTTAAAGACATTCTAGGTATGTGTATCTTTCCATGGAATGTTTGTATCTTCCAGTTGAGTATTAAAATCTGTAAATTGTGGAAAAAGTACTCTTGAACTTAATGACTCTCCTTTAGATTCTTAGGTAAATGAGCTCTATTTTATAGATGAACAATTAAATACATGAAGCTTATCTATAAATCTTAAAAAGCAGATGGCATTGGCACCATGCCATTTTATTACCTTAAAAATAAATCAGATTGGTTTTGAAGAATTTGTGGTATGAATTATTATTTCTTGCATAAATTAACAATCAGAAATCTCATAATTTTTTTTTTGTTTGAGTCCTTCCTATTTCTGATTTATTAGGTGACTTATTTTAAATAATTCAAATGTTTTTCATAATAGAAGTAAAACTTAATTTTAAGAGAGCATCAAACATATCTTTGCAACCAGAACTTTCTCTAAAAAAGCTGGCAAACTCTGTTCTAGTAACAAAATGAAAAATAGGAAATTGGAGAAGTGTACAGATTAAGATGTGTATAACAGTGGTGACTTGTTCTGTTATATTCTGGATAGATTTTAATATAGTCTTAATAGTTTTATGTTGTATCTAGCAAGCACAGGAGGTGGCAAATACAGCCTGTACGAAACACATAGTGAAAGTTCATGGAACATACAGTAAAAGTTTTCAGGAAGTGTTAGCATTTTTCATTTTAACCTGTGTGCACTTGAGGGTGTTATTTCAGATTTTTCTTTAAGAATTTCCTAAACTGTATGTTTCTAAATGACTAGTCTTAAATTGTGATGCTTCATATTAGGAAGAAACTTGAAATAAAAATTCATATTTGTTAGGAAAAGAATCTAGGCCTTTTCTACCATAAAGATTATGGGTGAATTTGCCAATTGTGAGTAAATAAATAGAGAAACATATTAGTATTCTGTTACTGAAATTTTTATACTTTTTTCAGAGGTGAAAATTAAAGTTCTTAATAAATCATTTTAGTTTAACTACATTAAAAATACGTAGTTTCATTTCAGAGGTAACCTTGAGGCATTCTGTTGATTTTTAAAGCTAAGCAAATCCAGAAGTGACTCGACTCTTACTGTGTTTTATGCTAGTTCAAATTTTTGCTCTGAAGGTATCCTCCGATTTTTTTCCATCTCTGTATTCCCTCTGTTGTACTTACTTCTCTTGCGTTCCCCAACATGGTTTTTCCTAAGTGTATTCTAAGTTCGCTAGTAAAAAAAGGACTCGTGAGACTTTTGTAGGTCAGTGTAAGTAACACATGGCATTTTTTTCTTCTCTTCGTAGAAGAGGTGGAGGAGGAGAGAAGAAAGGAGAGTGAGGAGGATAAAGAAGAGGCGGCGCACAAAGAAGAGGAGAAACACACAGAGAGAAGTATGTGATGCTAAAACTATTATGCTTCGCTGGTGGCATGTGTTGGACACACAGAATCATTGAGGTTGGAAGGGACCCTTGGTGATTATCTAGTCCAATCCCCCTGCTCAAAACCAGGTCAATTAGAGCAGTATCCTCAGAACCATGTCCAGCAGGTTTTGAGTATCTCCAGGTGAAGACTCCACAGCCTTCAAGTGTTTGACCACCCTCACAGTAAAAAATTTTGTACGTTTGAATGGAATTTCCTGTATTTCAATTCGCATTTATTTATCTCATCCTTTCACTGGTACTCACTAGTGAGTCTTGCACTGTCTTTTTCACTCTCCATTATCAGGTAATTTACACACATTATAAAATCTCCCCTAACTGTCTTCTCCAGCTGAACAGTGCCAGCTGTCATTTCCTCATATGGTGGCTGCTGTAGTCTGTAAAACATCTCGGTGGCTCTACCCTGAACTCTCCAATATGCTCATATCTTTTTTGTATTTAGAAGCCCAGAACTGGATTCAGTCTCACAACACTAACAAGAGGGGAGTGATTACCTCTCTCAACCTCCTGGCAATACTCTTCTCAGGCAGCCAAGAATGTTGTTGGCCGCCTTTGCCAACAGGGCATATTGCTGGCTCATGTTCAACTTCTTGTGCATGAAGACCACCAGGGCCTTTTCTGCAAAGCTGTCTTCCAGCCAGTCAGTTCCCAGCCTGTACTAGCACATGGGTTTATTCCTACCCAAGTGTAGAACTTTGCATTTTCTTTTGTTGAACTTCATGAGGTTCTTGTTTGCCCATTTCTCCAGCTTGCCAAGGTGACTCTGAATGGCAGCATAACCATCTAGTGTAGCAACCAGTCCTTCCAGTTTTGTATCATCTCCAAATTGGTGAGGATGCCTTCTATCCCATTATCTAGGTCATTAATGAAGATGTTAGTGTTGGTACTAGTAGCATCCACTGGTGTACATTACTAGTGATAAGCTCCAGCTGGACTTCATGCCACTAATTACAGCTCTTGGAGCCTAGCAGTTGAGCCAGTCTATTTATCTAGGCCATACAGCATGAGTTTGTCTCTGAGGACATTTTGGGTGTCAAAAGCATTACTAAAGACAAAATAAAGAGCATCCACTGCTCTTCCCTCATCCACCCAGGCAAGTGTGTCATCATAGAAGGCTATCAGGCTGATGAAGCATGATTTCCCCATGATAAACCTATTCTGACTATTCCTCATCACCTTCTTTATATGTTTATAGAGATGATTTCTAGAATTACTGGCTCCGTCATGTTCCCCTCGATAATCTGTGATTGAGCATGGTGGCTGAGAGTAGTCCCCAAAGGCTGGAGGAAAGCAAATGTCACTCCTGTCTTCAGGAACCTTCTGCTATTGCCACAACCTTTCAGAGTCTGGGAGTGGCTTTGCAGTCATCTCAGCCAGCTCCCTTGGCACTTGTCAGTGCATCCCTCTGGCTTGCATGGAGTTCTGTATGTCCACTTTGTTTACATGTTAACCCAATGCTCCTCTGCTGAGAGCAAGCCTGCCTTTGCTTCAGACTGTCCCACTGGTCTCCAGGAACTGGCATTGCTAAAGGCAAGTCTCCCCATTAAAGTCTGAGGCGAAGAAGGCATTCAGTGCCTGG